TTCTAGGTCATTTAGCTGACTAATACTCTCGGAAGCAGAAGGATGAGATCCCGAAGATACAGGGGTTGTTACGGTGTATATATGCAGCTTCATTTTCTAGCCAGATAAGAAAAACAGAGATCTTGACCTCGACGATAATTGCCACCTAAAAATTATGACAAGATCCCTCTGGAGACAATCCTTCATCGGATGATCCATCATCCGGCGATCATGTCCCTGGAAGTCCAGCTCCACAAGAGCCGCCTCTCAGAGGCTCAAACTCTGTAGGACACGGTTCAAACGATTCCCCTGCGTATTCAGACCCTTCATTACGTCAAGGTGGCTCTCGACTTGATTCAGGAGAGCATTCTGAATCAAGCGGTGCGGCTGGCGGGATTGATAGTGATGGCGGCCCTGCTTCGGAAAATTCTCATTCCCATGTACCCTCTGGACAAGATAGAGCCAGCGGCTCCGCGAAGTCAGGACCAGAAGATGGATCTTTAGACGGTTCATCAGCAGGACTTATTTCTGATCAAGATAGTGACCGCGAATCAGCCGCAGGGGAGATTTTATCACTACTAAACCCGACTAGTAACACAGGTACTGGTGGAGAAATAGTCTCAATAGTCCATGACCAGAACGATGGACATAGAGTGGATGCGCCTCACACAAGCGGTAGCAGTCAATTTGATAGCGATCCGACATCCAATGTGCCCGACGAGGTCCAAGCCGTGGGTTCTGGCTCCGCTCAAAGTCCGAACTCAGAGGCAAATGACCACAATACGCACGAACATGACCTTCATGCTGGCACTGGCTCTGCTGAGAGTGTCGACCAGGTCCAAGACGATGTGCCAAGCATTGTCCACACACCTATTTTTGCGGACCCATCTCACTCCAGTGGGATCGTTGTCGGTACGCATCATATCGCTCAAGGTCAAACTACCAAAGTAGACAGTACTCCAATCTCTGTCGGTGCGAATGGTATTGCAGTCGGCACCAGCTCTCTATTAACCATACAAAGCTACCATAAAACGCCAGCAGTGGCCGCGGCTATTGCAACGCTTGGCCATAATGTAGTTTACGCCGATCCTTCTAGTTCCGGTGCTGTGGTTATAGAAGTCACGCAAACACTTTCCCCAGGTCAGACTACGCTTGTGGATGGCATGTCAGTATCCGTCGGTCCACAAGGCATGATCATCCGTGGCAGCACTACCTTGCCTCTTCCTCCCCTTGCTGCGAGTGCAGGTTCACCGGGATCCGCAGCTATCAAGATTGGCTCTGAGACCTTGACAGCGTTTCAGCAATCAGGTCAGCAGGCCATTGTGATTGGATCGTCTACACTTCTTGTTGGCGGTCCTCCTCTTACGACTGCTGGTGATGTGATCTCTGCGGCTACATCCGGTGTTGTAGTGATCAGTAGTGGCAGTACTAGCATCTACTTGTTCTCCTCTACTGCTACTAAAAGCGTCGCACTGCCCAATAGTGCAGTCGAAGTTGAAGCAGCGTTTACCATTGATGGCAAAAAGCTTACAGCATACGAAGTAGCTGGTCAGAGTAGCAAAGCGGTGTTGCTCGGAGGCGATGGAAAACTGCTCACTCTTGTAGCTGGCGGCTCTGCAGCTACGATAGATGGACAGAGAGTAAGCTTGAGGAGAGATGGTGTCGTGGTCGGTACGGGCAGTAGGGAGGCGGCGTGGAGCACGGCCATTGGCGTGAGCCTGCCTGCGAAGGTGACGTCGACGGTTCCAAGCTCAGAGCTGGGACCTTGGAGTACGACAAGTGGGAGTATAGGGACGTCTGGAACTGGTAATGCAGGTGTGAGTGGAAGCGCGAGCGCGTCAAGTACCAAGTCTGTTGCCGCAGGAACAATCTATGGGAAGCCTGGACTATTTGGCATAAGTATATGCATACTTGTGGCAATATTGATAATGGTCATTAGATAGAGCTTATCTCCTTAACACGAATTACATAACTCCCTACGAAATAAGAATGAGTGATTACAGGGTCAGATTATAAGAGAAGGAACCATCCGTGTGATGCCATACCTCACTTTCCAACTCCTACCCAGATCCTGTCTATCACTCTACACAATGAAGTGGGACTGATGGCCTTTGCTTGCTGTTCGCCGATCTTTTCACCCAACGCAGGTGTCTGGAACATAGTGAGGAAAGCGTAATGGCAATGGGACTGCCATTAGCTGGAGCAGGTATCGACCACGAGTTACTTGAAGAAGAACCAATAGCGCAGAAGAACTATATGTGTGGCTCGCACAAGTACTCAGTAGCGGAGATATAAGAGTTTACTATATGGAGAGGTGTTAGAGCTATTACAGTGGAAAAACGATTGGCGAATATTTTACCATCTTGGCCGCAAGTACGTGATTTCTCCCAGTACGTTGGATCTGGGTAAACTGTCCATGCGTGGTAGAATGAATACACCATGTATATAACGGCAAATGATGGCATTACCAGCAAGACCAGATTTAGTATAGGATTAAGCTGTAAATTGACGAACGAACTACCATACGCGTGCCATGAGTGACCATTCGGAGGGCTGTCGGTTATCTGCGTAGAGTCTGCGCTTGCTGCGGTTTTCTCTATCGAGTGAACGATTAAGATCGACTTAGGTTGCTCATCCGTGGAGTTATTTCCAATTGAAAGCTTTGAATTGCCACTCAGATGAGTGTCCCCCGTATTAATGGCCGGTGGAGTTGCAGAAGACATTCGCGATGAACCAAGTGTGATAACGATGTTGAGATAGTGTAACGGACAAAATAGCTTTCTTTGGACAATTGGGACAAATTAATGCTCTAGTGTGTAGAATAATAACAACTGCTACGCACTGGTGCGTGCTCTGAAACCCGCTTCCCCCCTCCCCAAAAAAAAAACTTCAGAAAACCTGAAACATGTGCTTGCGACTATGATACTGGCATCGCCCTGAAGAGGTCTATTGGGCTGTGCACGTAATAAATGTATGGGCAACGCTCTCCGTCTAGCCACATGCTGAACATGTGCGGCGAGATAAAGTTAGGTCACAGCTTTTTCGGGCTGTTGATGGAATCTTGCACGATATCTATGTCGAGAATTAACGTGCTGGTCGCGTTGGTATTCGTGGTTGGTTTAGATCATTGCCTACTGTTGGCACTTTAGTCCTTACTTTATTTACCAGACGTAAGAGTGTTTTTGTTTCTGTCGAACTGTCATCCAATGGGAGAAGTATGCGTGTTGAAACGCCTTGTTTTAGAAATGATAATTTTGCAGATTGATGCGGCTGAAGACGGGCAACATTGCGGCATTTATTTTCACAAAAGAGAAATCGCGCTGCTCATCTCTGAGACTGCGTCATACGACAGTGCCCGACAAGATGCCTTGCCCTTCCCAGTTGCCGATTCTCCGCGGTTCTGTGAAGGCTTCCGAAACCACATAGCCCCACTTCATGACGTAGTAGAATAAGCAGATCTCAAGACCATCTATACGGTGTTTAGACCGAGGAGACCGATTGGAAGAAATGCGCAAGTCATACCTGCTTGCTTGTTTGTACCTTATACTTGCGAAGCGCACGTGATCTACGAAGGATGGATAAGGTACCTACCTACCTATAAGGTACCTTACCTTTGTGGGCCCTCGCACTCCATTGTAGCTGGCTCCTACGCAGAACAATTCAACGCTTGACCCGCACCTTGACTAGCGGTAATGGGAGAGTACAAGTCTGTATGCCTTGAGTTGACCAGGAATAAAGTTGGCCAAACTTCATATCGTTGTTGAAACTGGTGATCGCAAAGCTGAAGGTCAGTAGTATATCGTACCCGATCCAATCATTCTCGCCTTGCACAAGGCAGAACCCGAAATCGTGCCCTGTGTGACAGCGAATGCCTTGCGGGCTAAAGTGCTGAACAAGATGCGCTTTCTTTTTCCATCCCGTGTCTACGCCCCGTGTCCACGCCCGTGTCTATGCTGGAGAACCGAAGCATTTGCCAACATGGACGTTCTTGGGGCGACTGCGAGCGCTGTTCAGCTGACAGAGTACGGTAGATCTGCCTTGCTTCAGCTCGTTCGTCTATACCAGGCTGTGCGCAATGGCCCTGCTGCCTGCCGGGATCAGCAATTTAATCTCTCCATTTTACTCAACATTGTGAACCGTGTTGGCCAGCAAGAAGGACTCAGAGAAGATCCGATCCCACAGCTCTTAGTAGATATTTCTGCACTTGCGAAGGACATTTACGCCCTTCTCGAGACAAAGGGACTTTTCGGCTTAAACTGGGCTCTCATCACTGGACGGGCAACGCTTTCTGAGGCATTTGTTTCGCTCAACGGGAAAAAGGATCTTCTCCACCTACATATCTCGGAAAGAACCCAAAACGTTCTGAGCCAAATCAGAAGTGACTTCTTTCATATGGATCGTGAGCAAATCTTCCCAGGGAAAGGCAATGTTCTAGGATCCTCCACTGCGACTGATACTCGCGAAGATAAAGGGCCAGAATCCAGCTCTTTCAAAGCTCCGGAAATGAAGGAAAAGGAGTTTAATGTAAAGGGCAACGAGACGAACGACTACGAGAATAAAGAGGCTTCGACTGAGGTTGTAAGCAAAACGTATGCTGCTGATACCGGATTTGAGCTGACAGATCTGTTAAGGCGCCAAATGGCGGGGCCAAGCTTACTGGTAACAAGACGACAATGAGAGATAGAGCCCAACAGGCTATTGCCTGTGGCTACCCACAGGCGCCTACTCTCAGCAACAACGAATCTGATGTTCAGGGAGATGCAGTGAATAAAGATAGCAAATGCGCCGGGCTGGGACTCGAAGTGCACGACATGCTAAATCATCAGTGGAAAAAAGGACGAGCCTCGTTCATATTATTTCTCGTTTCCAAGATTATTTTCCATAAATTACATCGATATCGACACAAACACTCGCTTGGGCTTGGATGATGCGAGATTTCTAGGTATCACGGGTATGAATAATGGGATCGATTCGCTCTCAGACATTAATTGCTCCAGTATCTAAAAGCCTATCATTACAGCAGAACTTTTTTTTCAGTACTCGAACTTCTAAGTGGCAACATGACGCGAGCTATTGCTGGCGACAAGACCGTACATAAGTCAGTCCATGTAGAAGCTGGCCTCCTCCACTAACCCACAACTTGTCTACTTGGTGTTCTGTGACCCCTGGACAAACTCAAATCTGCATTTTGAAGCACATGATATCTAAGGATGGTGTTGAAGCTACAAATACACTGCTTTGAGCCTCTATACTCTATAGTCGTAGTTGTTGTCGCCACCTTGAGGATTTGATCTGCTGATGATTCGCGAACTGCCCGCTTCATACTTCATAGCTTCTATATCTGCAAGCCAAGATTTAGGTGCATTGGCATTTTCTCTCATCTCTGTGTGGGCGCAAGTTTATGGAGTCTACTTTGGAGCTGCTTACTGTGCTGTTGGAGCATTGCAATTTGAAGATTAGCTTGCCCGGTAGCCTTAGCTGCTTTGTTATGACCGTTCGGGTGCTTCTGTCGACGTAGTTGACCTAGTGTAATCTGTGTTCTGGTGAATCGGCGACTAGATTTACGCTTTTAGGAAAACAATTCCTCCTGCTTGGGTTCAATTCCGTACACACAAGGCAAGAGTACGTACTGATTATCTTATCTGATTCTCTCCGACTTAGAAATCTTCCCCAATCCGGATAAAGCCGCTCAGCTCGCCGTTTATTTTCCAGCCAACAACACCTTCAAAAGCAGTTCTCAAGTCTGAATTTAGCTTTTTGTCGACCTTTATGTCCTTCCCTTTTCATACACTTCTAAACTCAATCAGAACATACTTATTAATTTAATATTTGCAACGGGAGTGGTGATTACTAATTAATCTCTAGGCAAATCCAATGTGCCCTGCAGTATTTTCTGCAATAACAACATGTATCAGTCGCTTTAAAGCTGCGATATCGTGCTCTTTGACAGAGATTGTCGCAAAATGGTTTTTACTTGGCGTAAATCCATGCAAATTGTAAGCTCGGCCAAAAGCACTGTTGCGCAGCCAACGCGATTTCGAGAGAATAATAGTAGTGCTGTCATATCATCAAGCTAAGCCCAATTCATCTTAGTCTGTTCAATCTGATCATTCGCTCTGGCTTAACGCAGCTACGTGAGAACAGGACCGAGATACCATCACGACCGTATGTATACCTCAGTAGGTAGGTAGGTACTCTCCGAGACATGAGCATCCAAAACTTACGTCATTCATTTCTGGACATGGGAAGGCCATGGAAGAAAGATACTGCAGGTGATCGCAGTAGGTTAGGTTAGGTAAGAAATGAGGTACTCTACGATCTATCAGTCTATAGTCTATCCGCTCGTGCCGCTCTCCGGACCAATCGTTCCCGCCTCCAGCTGAGTCTGTTGGCAAGCAGGCAGTCGCTGTGATCAAATGAGTGACACGAAGCTGTTAATGGACGTTACGGCTCCGCGTCCGACCGAAAAGTCGTTTTGCCGTATAGATCCGATAAGCAATCATAATAACCTCCTCATGCTTCTGCACCCCTCACGCCTTGCAGTTCGTTGTCGGTTCAGTTACTGTATAAATATACATGAAATTTGTATGGTAAATGGGTAGAAAAGTCAGTATTAACAGGGTGAATTGGATGAGGTGAGAGGTCTTGCAAGGGGTGTGCAGAGATACGTGTCAAGAGCAGACACTTTCCGGTCGGATGCAGAGACGGTTCCTGAAACCTTAGGGTTCAGAAAACTTCACTAATGATTTTAACAAGGTCAAGACCTTGGCACTTCAGGTCATTACCCTCGCAGCTGTTACAGAACAATTCACGGGAAAAATTACACACAAAGAGGTTCATGTTCTCTTCGTTTACTGTTGGAGATATGAGATGCAAGTAAATCATGAATCAAGGTCCAGGTCTGCGGAGGACCGTGTAGCAACTTGCCATATAGAGTACACACTAGAACGAATGTGGTAATATCTATCGTGGTCGCAGGCCAACCTTCCTGGCCACCACAGGTCAACATGT